TCCTTCAGGTGTCTCTCTGCTCTGGTGTGGGGTCCTCCAAGGTATGCAGGTGGCAGAGGGGCTACAGGGGTGGCTGCATGGAGGCACTGTCACCCTTGCTGACTGGGTTGGCTTTGACTAGTGATGGGTCTGTCTTGGAGCTGACTGGCATTGTCTCTGTCAGACACAGGGGAAGCTTCTAGCTCCTCTGCTACCAAAACCTTGCCATACAAAGTCAGTACAATACCCGTTAATCATTTGGGACTACCATCATCTACGAGAGGATACATATCCATGCGTATTGAGGGTTCAGCCCGTCATGCTTTCTCATATGCATACAATCGAGTGGAGGCTTCTAAGCTGTTGCTCTTGAATTAGAAATTCAAGTATGAGTAATTTTAAATTATTCTGACTTATGCTTAGTTTTAAAGATATGTAAGTGCTTTTTACTTAAGCACTGTATTTATGGTCTGGGGATAGGGAGTGAAGTGACAGGATCTAGAATAATCTTTTAGGTGACAGTAAAGTAATGAAGAATATTTGCTGTTAAAGGGCATCCTTTAGTCTTTCACTCTCTTCAGGCAAAGATCAGAGATGGCTGCTTAGTTTCTGTATGAAAATAAGAATTTCCAGTACAGAATTTATTTATTTTGCACTGGTACTATGTGTGTGGTACGTTCAGTTGTGCAGTTATGGAAACTGCATTCTGACTACATTTTTTTGGGGTCGCTGTATATACATTTTGTCATTAATACAGGAACTGTGTCTGTTTAAACAGTATGTATATTTATATATCTTGAATGTAGAGAACAGCATGACTTGCCTTTTGCCCATTTTCATTCTTTGAATTTTTTCTTAGGAGTCAAAACATAAATACACAATAGCCTGGTATGCAAAGGGAAGTATACCAGCAAAGTGGAAGGAAAGACATTGAGAAACATGCCTTCCTTTCGTAAGCCATTCTTCCCAGTATTGTGCTACTCAGCATTCCTCTGAACAAAGCCACTTCCATAGCATCTGCAGTTCCTGCATGTAAATAATAATGTCTCAGAATATTCTTTAAAAGGCTTTTTAAACATTATCTGTGATATCATGACATTTAATGTCCTCTGCAGTCATGTGTGAACCAGACCTCTCAATTTGCAGTCTTCCTTCTGTCCCCTATTGCCTAGAATTGGCTTGCTTTATTTTGCCAGGGTACCATTCCTGTCTATAAACATTTCTCGTCTCAGCAGGCTCTCAGCTGTGTTATTACAATTCAACATATTCAGTGCCTATATTTCTTTAGTTTCACTAAAATAAGATACTTAAAAGGCACTGGCTGTCTTGAAGCATTTGGATCTTAAAATTTTTCCCATCATCTGTTATTACATGCCAAGTCAGCCTCAGCTCCTGAATATGCAGCATTCCCACGTCCTCCTGCAGTTCTGCAGCTGAAGTCTGTGTTTTGCCAAAGTATTATTTCATTCATCATCCAGAAAGGGTAATTCCTCAGCTCCCACCTTCCTGTTCTGGTCTAGCATGCATACAATGAGGCCCTAGGATGCAGTAAGTCTACATTTCATTTCTTTTCTTCTCTCCTCATTATGGATCCTAATGTGTGTAAATCCAGTGCAAGCCATTTAAATGATAGGCCTACATGGCCATCTGTGTGAATGAAGAAATTACACATAATGTATAGATTGCTGCCAGTTCTGCAAGTGTTAAAAACCTTTATTTACCTGCATTTAGTCAGTTAAATTTGCGTTAATTGAATTCCTGTCTTATTCCAGTCCTTCCATCAGCTGGCTCAAGAACTTTGCTTTCTCTGTGGTGGAGTTAGCTTATATTGAATTTGAGAAGTAACTTTTAAATGCTCTTTATAATAGATTGCAGAGCCTGTGAGGACAAGCAGTCAAATTCTTGATTAGCTGATCTGCCAGAGAAGAATAGCAATGAGTCAAAACTATGGATGTCTTCCCAGGCAAGAATTTAGTGTTGTTCCAAGGAGCTCTTTTGAAAACCATTTTCCCTGGTAGTAATAAGTAAAGCAACTTTTAAGCAGACAGAATACCTCTTTTAAAATGAAATATGATGCTCCAGGGTGGTGGTAAAAGAAAATAGTATTTATGGTTCAAGTCACTTGTAACAGATCACGGCTATTAAAGCCCTTTGTCGGTAGAATGAATTGGTATTGACTGCCTGGTTTCTCTTGCGGGTCATTAGCTTGTCAGTTAATTGGAAAGCTTGTGAGGGGCTTCCCCATGACAGTGTTTTGTGGTAGAAAAAAACAACCTGGGAATAAACTTAGTTAAAAGCTCTTCTTAGTTGGTAACTATGGCTGGTTCATACATGGTTTTGATTGCTGTGTGTGAATTGTGTGATAGGTTGATCTCTAAAAGGGATAAGGGGTTCCTGTGGTATCGCTCTGAAGGCTAACAACGATTCAAAACAGGGATACTACTGTGAAATTCATACCACAAATAATACAAATGCACTTGTAAGAGTCTGCATGAATGCTGTAACTGTAACAAAAGGATTCTTCAGGTTCAAGCACATAGTTAATGTGGCTATCACTAGCTTGAGTCAAAATGATGATTTTCTAATAATATTCTTTATTGATGTGCCTCAGATTAATATAAAATTCTGTTAAAACTATGGTTCTGCTGTCATGGAAATGGCAGTCTATGATTCCTTTTTTATTTTTCAGTGACTTGATAGATGCTCATGAAAAAAGAAATCTGGGTATGAAGAGGGTGGTTTTTTCCACTCAATACCTGGACCTGAAAGCCTGCGTGGGCTTGTGCATCCTTGATAGTGGTATGGACTCTGCAACTGGGTCTTAGTTTGTAATGCTGTTTTGGATGTATGGTTTAAAAAGAAATTAAAAATTGATCTCTTCCGGTTAGCCGTGTGAGTTCTGCAGAGGAGTGAAATGTTGTATAAACCGGGCGGGGGGGGGGGCACTTTCTCTGCAAAAAGTAAACAAATAAGAGAAGCACACAGAAGAGATTTGTTAAATAGAGGTGCCATCTTTATACTGTTGTTCTTCCGGCTATAACTGGACTTCATGTTTTATTAGGGCCTGGGTCTTTAGAGTTGAATTTTATAAAGCTGTTTCAGAACAATTGGGCCAGTCACCCGTTATTCATTCAATTACACACCGCAGCCTTGCTGCTCCCCATTGACATCTGTGTACACAAATCCCAGCTCTTTTTCACATAACCTGACCAGCTCAGATGCTGCTGCTGGGAGATACTGAAAATCCTTGGAAGCTCCAGAGCCTGAGAAAAGAAATAGCTAAATAGTTTGTTCCCTCTGACATGCCCAGGGACAGGCAGGAAGCTGATAATTGCATTATTGCACATGTAATATTTTGTGTTTGCCCATGTATTGCTGTAGAAAAGGGAGACATTGGAGGTTGCTATGTGGGAAATGTTGTTAAACCACTCTTATGTAGCTAGCTAGCTAGCTGGATTTCTGTTTGTTGCCTTAAGCAGGTGTTGACTTACACTGTGATGAGCTATTTCTGAGGGGACTACCTTGTCTGGAGCTGGAGGGACCCCTGTGTGCTGTGGTGGTAATGAGGTGACCGGCCTTGCTGGGCTCTAGATGGAAAAGTTGTGTGCTCCATGAAGCAGAGCATTAGGGAGAGCAATGCAACTAGCTCTCTCGTTAACACGATTAAATTATATTCTGGACAGCTGAATTCTGCCTCTGAGGCCATCTCACTCCTGTGTGCAGATGGTCCAGCCAGCCTTCCTGTAGGTGGTCAGTAACTGACTGCAAGTCCAACTTCATGTGCTTTGGGGTTCAGACTTACATAAATGCTGATGCTTGAAAGAGGACTCAGTAAGTACTGCGCTTGGAAAATTTGAAGTTCTCAAAAGAAAACTGAAATGCAGACATGTAGGCAACAGGGACTGTGTGTGTGTCAAAACGTGCTTTCTGAATAACAGTGACTTGTGTTTCTTCTACCCATAAAATGAATACAATACTGCCTCATGTTGTGAGAGTATCCTTGAAATAAATCCAGTGATGTTTCTGAAATGTTTGGATACTTCAGTGCTGAACACTACAGAAAAGCTCAGAAATAAAATATTAGTTCTTTATTTGGGAAGAACATCAGTGATTGATGCTGAAAGAAGTACAATTTTTACAATGCAGCTACAAGGAAGAATGGAGATGCTGCTGATGGGGAGTGCTTACTGTCATGTACGCAGTGATAGAGTAATTGAACGCTGTATGAAAGTGCATGCCTGTGAAGTAGGAGAGAGGGAACTATCAATGTTGCAAAAATGATGTCTGTACTAACTCCTAATGTTCAATTTGACTTGGAATTTTGATCTTTGTGTTAAAAATGTAACTTGTGAATTAATTTACAAGCACAAAAGGCACAAGTTTACCTTAGGTTTGGCAATACCAAAGCAGTAAACCTACCTGTTTTCACATACGGAAGAAAACCTTGAATTTGTTCATATAGGCGTGGACGATGCCTCAATTTCAACCCACTGTTGAATCAATTTGGTACAAATATTTTTTAGGTTTTTATGAAACTAAGCAAACTGAGTAGTGATACTTCATACAACATTCCATGAGAATAAGTGATTGCAGTTGAACTTTTCCTGGCAGACTTGGAAATTGGGTTGTAAGAAATGCCTTTGTGTTAGGCATTTGGACAGTAGCCTAGCAAAGCACCAGTCATGGACACTGCTGGGGACTTACACAAATAATCATAACTGTGTTTCAGATGGTAAGTAAAATATATATAAGCTCATTAATTAAGAACTGTAAAGCTAGCATACAAAACATTTTGCAAACAAACAGGATTAATTGACTAGAAATTGGGTGGAAAAAATGTTTGTTAGTCACTAGCAACACTGAAACCAAATATAAAGATTTTATCTTGGTATTGGCTCTTTTTGTATTAGTATGAATCATCTTAAAGCCTATGTGCTTCCATATGAAAATGTGTCTTGTGTAGCAGACTGTGATAAGCAGAGAAGGTCAACTTTATTTTATTTTATTTTAATCCCTTCTAGCCTTCAGGAAAAAGAGCAATTGTTCAGCATGTCCATTAAAGAAACTACTGCCAAAGTAAGTATGCATCAGTTTTCAGTTCTTCAGAACATTTAGAGAAGCAGAAAATAGCTTGCATCTTAATAAACTGTTTGTGTTCTAGAAATCTGGGGTTGTGTTGTTTCTTCTAAACAGATTTTGCATGTAAATATTTTTAAACACACACTCCAGGAAAAAGCCCACCAACTTTTCTATTTGGACAGGCCACAGAGATTATGCCTAAGGAAGCAGATGGAGTAATCTATTGTTTCTCAGTTTATGTTTACTAATGATCAGTCTTCTTGCTCGTCTCCACTTAGGAACAGATTCCTCAACCTCATGAAATGAAAGTGAACACTGGTCACAGCTGAATGTTTTCACTCTTAATACAGTCTGTTACTTTTCTAGCTGATTAGTTTTGTTGGTGTGAAAGAAGAGCATAAATGACGTACCTCTTTTCCCCACACTTTCACTAATAATAGACCAGCAATCTAATTCTTACCACCCCTTTAGAAATACAAATATTTAGCATACCTATTGTTTCTAACCAGAGATGTTAATACTTTTCCTTTACTTATTTCTCATGGCCAAAAAAAAAAAAAAAAAAAAAAGTACTGAAGTTTTTATTTCAGATTGTCTGAGTGAGCCACAGAGCATCTTTTCTGCAGAAGAGCTCTAGGAAAAAAAGATCCATTTATTGTAGCTCACTCATATATGTCTATATGGAACAGGGACTGGAAAATATTTCTGCATTTTCATCAGTGATGAATTTATACTGTGAAATTTTATTTTTCGTGTTTTTTTCTCTAATAACATTTATAGTCTATTCTTCCTAATGTCCTTGACCAACACTTTTAGCATGCACTGCTAAAAAGACCATTTAAAGACTACCTCTTAATATCCCTTCCTCCTCCTTTCCTACTTTATTTTGAACTCATTCATCTCTATTCCTTGCTTACACACTCATCCTGGGAAAAATTAGCATAGACCACTGTAACATGATGCTCTCCCCTGTGTTTTTTAAATGACTGTGAAGGAAGTATCAAGAAAAAGTGTGTAATTGACCTACAGTTCATCTACTAAAGTGAATGTTATGTTTGGTACCTTGGAGTGGTGTGTTATTTCATGCTACCTGCAAGCTAAAACATAAGCTACAGATTTTGCCTTCTCCCCTGAAAATGTGTGCCTCTTGAAGGTTTATTTTATAACTGGAGCATCTAGAGACTTTTACAATAAGAGCTGAAACATTGAGTCACAGTTGAGAGGTCTGCAAGGTAAAATACCGCAGCCTGTTTCTTTAAATATTCAATAGATAAAATACTAATTTAATTTTGTTCCATTCTTTTTGATGTCTTTTATTTATTAGAGAAGATAAATAGGAAGCATGTAATGAGACTCCTAATCATGTATTATTTTATTTATTCAGATCGTCTCATCTTATTATTTTCTTCTCAAACTGAACAGTGCTGGTCTTTTAAACCTTTTCATTGTATGGGGAAAAGACTACTTTGTCAAAGGTCTTTTCTTTCCCCCCTGTGCCACTAATATTTATATGGCCTTTTCTGCCTCATCTGTGTTTTCAGCTGAGGCTGCAAAAGCTAAGATTCTCCTGCTAATGAAGGGAACAATCTCCCTTATTCACCACCTTCCTTCAAAAATTAATATCTGCTTTTGCTAATGACAAGATTGTGCTGTATGGGAGATAAAAGTGGACTGTTCTTTTCTTCAGGCAGTGCAAAGAATTTCTGTATCTTCCAAGCTGCTGTTGTAAAGAAATGTGAACGTTACTCAAAACTTATTTTTCCTTGAGATGGTTGGAGGAAGAGTAAACTTCAGTGCTTTAGTCAGTGTCCTTGTCCCTCTTTCTGCCGCTTTAGATTAACATCATATGCTGGAAAGATGGAAAAGGATGACAATGGGCAAATCTGCTTTTGATATTTTGCTGCTTTTCATCTTGATTCCACATACCTTTGCTAACCAGCATCCTACTGGTTTCAGATAGACTGCTTTTTTGAGTAGTGTTTACGTGTCTGAACACAGATTTGTAAGATGTATTCTTAAACAAGTGTGTGTGGGGTTTTTTTGTTTTTGTTTTTGTTTTTTTTTTTGAAAGTCTGCTTTAAAAAACCCCACAAGCCACTAATGAGGATTATTAAATAGATACAGTAATTATTTGAGAAGAATTTCCATGAAACTGAAAGGGAGTGTTTTTTGGACTTGGAGCTTGTTGGTCCATGGGCTGCAGCAGAGCTGGTCACTGAGAACAGGGAAAGGGCAGTGCTGGGGCCACAGGCAGAGGCGCTTGTAACCAGACTGGTCAGGGAAGGGTGGTGTGTTCCAGGGCAGGAGTGAAGGATGCTGGCTTTGTGAATGTTCATCGTCTTTGTTAGCTAAGAAATAACCTTTCCTCGGTGGCTGAATAAGCTACTGTAATGAATAATGGTAGCTGTTATTAAGATAAAATAATTAGAAAAAATGAAAAGAATTGGAGCTTGTAGAGTAGAACTGATGTAATGTAGAAGCAGTGCTATTGGTTTAGAGGATGTTACATTATTTTGCCTCTCCCAGTTGCTCATTTAGTTTCGTCGAACTGTGCCACGTAGCTCTGAAGATTAATGTTGTTCATTTATCTACAGAATGCACAAGACATAGATACAAGCAGAGGCTTGGTAACGTACTTATCTCATGTTCCAGAAGAATCATCTCTGTGAGCTACAGGAACTTCATTTCAGCTTTTGGTTCCCTGCATTTGGTCCATCAATGAACAGTGCCAGTGAGCTTCGTTCTGACAGTAGTGCTACAAAGTTCCTAGTGTTTATTAGGAACTGATTAAACCTCCCAGCTTATTTTGCATAATTGCCAAACAGCTGTCTACTGGTAATGACTTTAAGTTACTACCAGCATGGGATATATTCATGCAGTTTTCCTGGAGCTGAAAGATTCCCCATCTAATTGCAATTCACTGAGCCATTCAGTACCCCTAAAGAGAGAGCGCTGCTTAGAAAGAAGTCATTAAAAACTTTCAGATTTATTTTGAATGTGTGAGACAGAAATGGCCTTTGGGTTCTTTGGACACATTTATTCACCTCTGACAGGTTTGGGTTTTTAAAAACATTTCAAGTGAATTAATAGGCAAGTGAAAAGTGAAATATTTGGGAATTGAAAAATTATAATAGGTGCAGAAGTGATGAGATATGTGTTTTTAAACTAATAGAAAGACTGAGTAGTCTTAGATGGTAACAGTTACTGCTTGGAGGATAAGTGTGTTGACTCAAGAGAAAATATGACCCATTTATGTTTAACAGATGCTCTCAGCTAAAGCAAGAGTGTATTATCCATTTAAAGGGATTTACAGTTAATGTCATATCTGAATTATTCTACTTCAATTGTACAAACAGATAAGCCATTAGAGCTGTAAGGCTTTTGCTCTTAAAAGTGAAATGATAGCTGTGCTTCTGTTAATAAGCATGGTATATACACTTGTTTTTAATGAGGGGGGAAAAAAAATCAAGGAGGGCAGGGAAACTTTCCTCTGGGGATTATATTTCGCATGTCATCTCTTCACAACTGGCCTGTGCCTCTCTTGACTGTTGCTTTACCCTTGGTTCCAACAAACGCAGTGTTTTCTCAAGTGTCAGCTACAATTTTAAGCAAATGTTTGATGCCTGCCTTCAGAACAAGAGATTTGTCCTTGATGAGGGATTCTTCTGTTTGTTCATTTTACTTCCTTCACAAATGGAGCAGTATGGAGTAAGAATCAACATTTTTGAATATGAATTTTTGAGTATGAATTATATATGCTAAATAAGGTCCTCCTGAGGTGGTAATGCACACTTAAATGTAAAGTACAGAAATAGTTCAACTTTGTTTTTTTCTTCTCTCTCTCCATGTTTTTAATACCAGTCCTGATTTATTGCTGAAGGAACTTCCAGTTAAAAAGATAAAAAAAAGAGAGAGAAGAAAAGTCAGAAACCTAAACCCCAGTCAGCTGCATCTCCTGATTGGGAAACAAAGTACAGTATTGAGCTGATATAGCCTTATTTATTGCCTGTGCGGAGAATTAATGATGGCTGCTGTGCCTTTTTTCAGTTAAGATATGCGGCACGGTATATTTTATATAAAATTCACTGTACATTCTGTGTTATGACACTTTGAACTCCAAACTCTGGAGTCCAGGCATCACTGCTAATGCTGAAATTATACAGAATTCGTAAGATGGCCTTTCTTCTATGTGCAGCCTCAGTGTCTAATAGTGAAACATTCTCTCTCCTGCAGGTAGCTAATGCTAATACCATCCCTTATTTTTATAATAGAATGTGCAGCAAAGACTGGAAATTTTGATTCATGTTGGGTATTTCTGTAAAGACATCACTTTTTATTAAGCTTCTTCACCTTGCTGTAGGATGTTATGTCATGTCTGTAAACCAAGAACGTTTGAAGCCCCATTTAAATTGCCTTATACTTTTACATGAATGAATTATATATTATGGCTGTCTGCCTCAATCTAGGTTTGTACGAGCCAGAAACTCTGCAGTACTTTGAGGAGGAAAGTGAGCGATATTGAGACTCAACTACCAGCTCTACTAGAAGCCAAAATGCTGGCTGTTTCAGGTAAGTTTCAAGTGATGAGAGGACTAATGTTGAGTGGTGTGTTAGAGCAGTTGTTCACCTTCTCATAGCTGGGACTTCTTATGAAAAGTCATTGATATACACTCGTCTAGATCCCTTGAAGTCATGGCAAGTCCAGTACACTGGGGCTGTGTTATGCCTTGTGCTTCAGACTCATCTCCACGGTTGGGAACTACTGGCAGAGTGGATGCTGTGTGGTAGTCAGTAAACGTGCAAAGAACATTGTATTTTCCCAATAGGTGAAATGGATAAATAATTTTCAATACCTATTCCTGGACCTTACAAGTTATATGCCTAGGTCTTTCTAGCTAAGAGCATAAATTTACAACAAAGGTGTAACAATTACAAGTGTGGCTTTAAATGACGCTTTAAAATGGAATACAATAATTGGCAGCTTCTGCTGTTCAGATCATTAAACAACTAATGTTGGCAGCAAAAGAGCAATTTGGTCCTTGGAGCACTCGTGCATATTATTTACAACCAGTAAAACATTGAAATGTGATTACAGAGTCTGATAGATAGCAGCTTTATATGTCACCTACTTGGGATTGCTGCGCTTTTCACTAAGGAAAGAAGGCAAAGCGGGGTTCCCTCTCTAAAGTTTGAAGAGGTGGGCTCTCTAATTCAGCAGATTGTTTGCAGATGTGTTAGGTCAGTGTCTCTTTGCTAGATGCCTGCCTCAGAGGAAGCTGAATGGGAGGGAATATAGACTTGACTACAAGGAGTTTTCCAGTGTTAACCAAGTAAAGAAAGGCTAGAGGGTTTTTAATAAACGTCAAGACGGTATGTTGTAGCTACCTGTTGATGATTTACCTTCTCAATTAGATACAAGAATCCAGTACTGGCACATACGAATTAGTTTAAAATGAAACCTTTTGCAGTGTCATATGATTTGCTTGCCAGAAATGGATAACATCAGTTTTGAGAGAAATCATGAAGGAAATTAAGGACCAGACGTTATGTTGGTGCTGTGCATGCTCAATTTCCTTGCTTCTCATAACACCTTTTAAAAATGGAAACCCTCTCTATTTCTCTGTGTCCACCTGGGAGAGGTAAGGTGAGCAATCACCCTTCCTTGCCTGTGGGCTGTTTGAATGTAGGTGATTTTCTCGCTTTCAGAAATGGGGTCAAAGTTTTCCCCAGCCATTTTATGTCGTCCTTGAGAACAAAATAGCCCATAAAGTGGATGTACAACTGCTTCGTGCTGCCAGGAGGAAGCAGTTGGCCAGAAAAGATGTACCTCAGTCTGACACTTCAAGAGAGTAAATGAAAACCTGAGGACTATTTCCAAAACATTCATAACAATATTTTATACTTGTTAGCTTGTAAAAGAGGTTGCTTGTTTCAGGAATGAATTAAAAAGACAGTTTAATGCTGATGTTTCTGTAAACTGTTTGCATAGTACTGCGACTATGATTGCCTTTCTATGCTTTTTAAGAAGTATCGGTGTTGTTTCTTAGTAGTAATAAAAAACGTTGTTTCTTTTTTTATATTTTTACTTTGAAAACCTCTTACTTCAGGGAATTTTAATGAGTGTGAATGGTACAATCCTAACTTGTTAGTAAGGCAAAATTCAGGAGGGAACTGGTTGAAAATCAAGGATGAAGGGAAATTTGGTGACAGTGGATACTGTAATTTCTTTACCTTATTGTAAGAAATTGATAAGATTTGGATTCGTTAATGCAGAGCAGTATGCACAGGCTATATGGGAAATACAGGAATTAAAAAAAACAAACTCTCTAAAGATCTGAAAGTAAAAAAAATATTCTGAAATAATGGAAATCTTTTATGCTTAGAGCATGAAGTAATAGAATCAGAAAAGCCAGGATGCAGGATGAATTGCAGCTAGCAGAGAAACAAGTTGGGAAGAAAACACCTGGTGAATGCAGAAGTAGTAAAAGGAAGGAGGAGCTAAAATAGTTTTTTTATTTTTTAAACTTAACGCAAAAAGAGTGAGTAGTGGATAATTTAGAGAAGGCTGAAATATTCAGTTTCTGTGTATTCTTGTTCTAAAACAAGAATAAATGAATGACAGCTCTTAAATAAGGCATAGTTAAGAAGTAGGTCTTAACCTTTTAAATACTGGTTAAGCTTTAAGCAAGATCCAGCATGTATGTATTCCCTGAACTGTCAGGCAGCTATCAGAATGTTAATCAACAGCCTGGATTTATTAAATTGCTAGGAAGTGGGAGAATCTTCAATTTGGTGATATGCAATTGTTTAAGGACAGCCTTGGAATAGCATGAAATTCAAAATTATATTAAATATAAATATACAGTAAGAGTAAAGTTTAGTGGTCACAGTTCGAGGTTTTCGTTTAGTTTGGGAGCATGAGGCAGGGATAAATATCTGTCATTTCTGCTTTTTTACCATAGCAGTTAGATCACTTGTTCAAACAATTTCCTTGAATAAGTACTAATGGATACTGAGAACAGCTGCTTTTCTCTAAACAAATGTTGCATCGTTTTTGTTTAACGTAGCATTTTCCTGCAGGAAGCAGTCAGAGTTAAGTGATTTTGGAACAGTGTCAAAGCAAAAAGGTAACTGAATGCAGTTGCACACATCTGGATTCAAGTATCCCAAATGTTAAATTAGAGGAGCTTAATATTATAGTTAAGTGATGCATTAGTTTTGGAGCTTACATGTGATGACTTAAATGATGTGATGACTTGGAAAGCATGATATATACCTCAGCGTTTGATGGCTACCAGCTTCAGACAGCATTCATCTTCTGCGTGAACTGTACTTTCTATTCCAAACACATTAATTTATAGTATTTGCACCAGAAAATGTAAGAATACAGCTGTTCTTGTTTTGAGATGCAAATACCACAATAAACACAGTATTGAGCATAATAATTATATTAGTCCTGTCAATACAATTCCTTGCATTTTAAGACTGTATAACAAATGATACTATAAAGACATAAGAGATGATGCTAGATATGTAAATCTGTCTTCTCCCTATTATTTTTTCTTTGGAAGAAGTGTAAAATTAAAATTGGAGGAGAAAGAAAGGTTTGGGAATCTTTGGATTACTGAAGATCGTAGAATAAATACAGTAGACTGACTAAATCCCAGTGCAATTTCATATGGGGGAAAAAAAAAAGCCTGTACGTTCAAGAGGTATTTTTATCAACAGAAATAATTCAGATCCTTTATATCAACAATTCCCTTACCTTCTGATTGGCATTTTCCTGTTGTGATAAATAACTTGCAGTTAATACTCCTGAGATGTTAGTCCAGAATTTTTCTCCAAACATAATTAGTGGAATCTTATTACATTGTTCACGGGTTTTAAGTCAGTAGCTTTAAGTAATTATAGCTAACAAGTACTCCTTATTGCATGTGGTGTTACTGTTGACATACACATTTGTAAATACTTATCGATGAAATTTTATGGTTTAGCATCTAGTAGAAAAAAAAAAACAGCAAAAAAACCCCACAAAACACCTTAATGTCAGTATTTAGAAACCTGCATGTGATTATTATAACAGTTGCTTCTTACACTAACTCTTAACATGTTTATAAAAATTTTGTCATCAGTTATGGGAAGAACATGGCAGTACATGATACTCTGTTCTTTCTTTTAGCATTACATGTCTATTTAGCATGAATTTCAGCGGGGGGGGGGGGG